TTATACTCATTATACACGTCAGTTAGAGGTGAGAAACACCTCAGCAACTGTGCCGCATTACACGAAAGAAAAGAGAAATAAATGCAACAACGGAGCTACCAGCAACGGATAGGCATCGTTCCGGTAAACTACCATCCGGCTACTAGGCAAAAAACAAAATTATTATGTTGTGCACTACGAAATGAGATCCTAGGCGGAGGGGAGGCTAAAACGGATGGGGAGGGACAAAGAAACTCACAACAGGAACGCCACTGAGGTCGGCTCCTTGCCAAGTCAGCAGGTGTATCCAGCCAAACGTGTTCATCGTCTTTTGGAACACAATCAGGGAGCCGTGACACTCCAACCGAGGCCAGCTCCGAAGTGAGGGCCTTCATTCCTCTGGAACAATTTATCGCTTGGCCACCTCTCCTCTTCTTCCACCCACATCCCCGGTGAGCAAACAATACACGTCGTGGAAATCGGTGGGCTGGCATGCGCAACACATGGCCCAGCCATCGGAGCCTGGTGAGTGAAATGACGGTGCTGAGCGGTTCAGTTCCCTTTTCCTAGGCCGTAAACAAGGCGTCGAACACGCTCGTTACTCACGCGGTGTTCCCACCAGATGTGAGCCAAACTGCGAAGGCACCGATAGTCGAACGTAAGTAGCCTCTTCATGTCCGCCGATCTTAGGGGCCAGGTTTCGCAACCGTACAGTAACTTCGCACGTACCGCTGCGTTGTATACTCTACCCTTCAAGGAGAGAGTAATGTCGCGCCGACGCCATAGGTGACGAAAGTTAGCAAAAGCACTTCGAGCTTTCGCTATACGGTTCGTGATCTCGTCTTCGATCCCAAGAACGCTGATACAACTTCCTAGGTAGTTGAATTTCCGAATGACTTCTAGCTGATCCCCACCAAGGGTCAATGCAGGAGGCTATCCCTGCCAATCTTAAAGGGACGCTTTGCATTTCGATGGTGCAAAGCAAAGCCCCAAGCAGCTGACAGCCAGTGCTAAACTGTCCAGCGCGGCTTATCACGTCTGTGAGCTGGAACAGATGAGGGCAATGTCGTCTGCATACTCCAAGTCAAGAAGTCGTTCTTCTGGCAGTAACTCCTCACCTTCCAAGTCATGTCCTGTAAACGCAATCTCCATGACTTCGTCAATAGTGAAGTTGAAGAGGAAAGGTGACAGCGGGCATCCTTGTCTCACACCGCTGGAGATATTGATTGGTGGCGACAGCTTGCCGTAAGCCCTCATTCTGCCCGTGCTACGCGCATATAATGCTTGGATAACATTTACATATTTCTCGGGCACACCTTTCCTGAGTAAACAATTCCAAAGGGCGCATCGATCAACCGAATCGAAGGCACCTTTGATGTCGAGGAACACGACTACGGTGGGCCGCCAATATCTGTGACGGTGCTCCAACAACTCATGCAAGGTAAATAAGTGGTCGATGCAGCCACGACCCCGACGAAAACCGGCTTACTCTTTACGAATCTGGGGTAGCAAAAGCACAAGACTTCATTGCATGAAGATATAGATTTAACAGGACAGGAGCTAAGACAGCCTTGTTTCACACCAGAGACAACTGCAAAGTCATCCAAGGTCTCTCCACTCAGCTGCACCCTCGCTCGCATACCACTGGGCAGACATTCAATTGGACTTACTAACTTATGCGGGCAACCAAACTTACCCAACAACAACCACATTGCCTCTCGGTTCACTGTGGCAAATGCCTTATTGAAACCAACAAGAAGTTAGTACAAACGCTGGTGTCGTTCTCTGCACTTCTCCTGCAACTGACGAACCGCAAACACTATATATATATATATATATATATATATATATATATATATATATATATATATATATATATATATATATATATATATATATATATATATATATATATATATATATATATATATATATATATATATATATATATATTATATATATATATATATATATATATATATATATATATATATATATATATATATATATATATATATATATATATATATATATATATATATATATATATATATATATATATATATATATATATATATATATATATGGTGCTGCGAACCGAACGGAATCCGCCCTGATCTTCCGCCACGTTAGCTTCCACAACCTGACTGACGAGGCGGTTGAGCAGGATTCGGGCAATCACCTTGCCCACATAACTCAGCAAGTGGATGCCACCATAATTCACGCGACATTGCTTGCTCCAGTTGCCCTTGTACAGTGGTAGCACAAGAGCCTCCTTCAGCTCAGCAGGCACCTCCTCCACATTCCATCCGCGTTTCACCAAGTGGTGCAGCGCAGTCATCAACGCGGGTCTGCCGTGTTTCAATACTTCTGGCGGGATCCCGTCGGCCCCGGCACACTTGCCGTTTCGTAGCTGAGCAAGTGCTCTCTTCGTCTCATCCAGTGTTGGCGTGTCCGCCGGACTCGTCTTCACATCGTGCTGCTTGAGGCCGTTCAATGTAGGCCAGTCGATCTCTGAATGGTTGTTCAAAAGTCAGTCAAAATGTTTTCGCCAGATCTGCATAATGTCTGCAGTCTGTGTGCAGGTAGCACCTGAACTACCATCGATCACCTTCCTCAGCGGCTCCAATCTAGGTCCATGCACCACCTTCAAGGAGTCAAAGAATTCCTTGTGTTGGCGGCGTTCGGCGTAGCATTCCATCTACTTCGCCTTCACCGTCCACCATGCATTTTAATGCGGCGAAGCTTGCGAGTCTGTCGCTGTCGAAGTTTGCGAAACTGATTACTCTTCCGCAAGTCACTGGGGTCTGTTACATGTGTACCAAAGGCTGCATTCTTCTCTGACACCAATGCGCCAATCGTCGCATTGATCTCATCAAGCCAATCAGGACGCTTAGATTTTGCCAGCCCGATGGTCTCCTCGGCAGCAGCTGTAACCTGGTCGCGAATGTGATGCCACAGGTGGCCCACTGTGGCCATGCAGTCCATATTACACAGGCGTGTAGCCATCGCCTTCTCCAGCTCAATAGGTTTCGCCACAATACCGAGGGAGAGAATGTTAAATTTCCGCCGATTCGCGTCGGGAGTGCAATACATAGATTTACGAAAATATATGTACAGTTTGGTCTGCACCAATTTGTGATCAGTGCCGCACTCCGCTCCCCACACTACACGTGTTACGCGCACTTCACGCATATCACGCTAACGTACGGTGACAGTCGAGCAGGTGAAGGTGTCCACTCCGTGGGTGAGTCCAAGTTGCTATATCACTCGCACTCAGTGCAAACCGTGGGTTCTTGATCGTCAGACCGTGAATGGCACACAGTGAGAGCAGCCTGTCACCGTTCGCATTCGCTGATCCAATGCCACGTGGACCAATAACGTCTGTCCACACTGATGCATCACGTCGAACGCGCGTGTTGAAATCACCCAGCAGAAATAGTCGATCACTCCTCAACACATACCGTATCACAGAGGATAGTTGATTGTAGAATTGAGCACGCTTGTCATCAGGATAATCCGTGGTCGGACCGTACGTACTTATAAAAGTGGCAAACTTACCTCTTCCGAGTTGTAGGCGCACAGTCATCAGTCGCGCTTTGATGCCCGTTGGTTCACCCATCAGCTGGCCATAGAGGCGATCGGATATTGCAAATCCGACCCCATGTTCACGTGGTGCTGAGGCGTCGTTGCCCACCCAGTAGAATGTGTAGCCACCACCTGCTTCATGCAACTTACCTTGCTCAGCGAGCCGGGTTTCACTGGGCACCGCAATACCACTGGCACCAGTGCACCCTTATAAACACTCCTTTCAGTGTTGGTCGGTTGATGGATCGATGTTAGGCGCGGATGGTTTTCTGACCTTGCAACTGAATCTAAACACAGCGGAGTTGAGAACCACCGGATCGGAATAAGCTTAGGCTTGTCGGACTACCTCGAGTGTTGTGTATTCAATTTAGAAATAATTCCCGGGGATGACATCAGAAACAGAAAGTAGCGAACAAGCTTGTTTTCAGGGCTTCATTATCAGGCTAATGATGATGAAGCCCTGAAAACAAGCTTATTGTGTATTCAATGGTGTCACACAGTAGGGAAATCGACTCAACGCGATTGAATTATCCGCTAGGGCTTTATCACCGATGACAGTTAAAACGGTTAGTGATGGTAAGGGCTTCCAATTAAAAGAGAATTCCACGTATGATGGATTACTGAGTATGGCTGGTAAACCCGGTTCAAATGAGTGTACGGTGTGTTCGCTGCGAGAAGATGGAGAGAGGATAGAGAGGAATACTGCAGTAATGTCACACAAGCCACCCACAACAAGGCGGGATTCGCCCTTGGTGCCTCTCAGCCAGTCGTCAGTGTATGGGGGATAGAATAACACATCACGCATCGTCAAGTGTGAACAAGACAACGTTGTGCATCAAACTCACTAACTTGTCAGTGAGCTGGTTCGCGTGGAGTTGACGGTGGCGACGGTGAAGACCGGGGCCAAGAGAAGCGGCCGCCATGGAAGATTTCGTAGGTTGCAATTTAGCATGGGTCTGCGTGCGTCCCTCACACACATCAGTTGAGCGTACTCCGACACGAGCGCCACGTAGATTAACCCTGTGTGCTACATCGCATCCAGCGCGACCTATTAAACACGGGTATAACCAAAACGCATTACTCGGCGAGGCATGTGCATCGCGGGCACGTAACGGACCAACAGGAATAATCCGCCAGGTGCCTGAAAACTAAACAACTTGCACATCTACGAATGTCAACCTAGAGCCATTGTAGTTTTTAGGACTAGATCACACACAACGCCAACGACTAAGGGCTTACAGTGATGTTATAACAATTCCAGTATTTCAAATGAAGCATAACTCTGGGAGGTGTGCTGCCAACACCATAGGTCTCAAGCATGCAAGGCGACAGCAGGCAGAGAAAATATTTTCATGCGATTTCGGAAAATACAACCAATAATGTGCTGTACAGAATATAAGATTGAGCTACGAATAATATCGAGCACTGTAAACTCATACGCTTGATATTGTGGACCCTTCAATCAATACGCGCTGCACGGTTTTGAGTAGATCGGAAACGCGAGTGGACAATTCGGATACACTCGGTGGGGTGATGTCACAGAAAACTGCACGCAACAAGAAGGGGATCCAATTATTCTGCAACCGCTCGAATCCGTCATCAGGCGGAGCACAGGCCAGGGCCTGCGCCAACCAATGAAGCAGGCGTCCACTTGAAAACATCACCCACCCGGGCCACAAACTCAATCGCCTTTCGTCAGCGGGTGCACTGTCACCTCCAGTGGGGTCTTCCTCTGCATTACTGCATGGGCACAGGACTTCCAGCAAATGCGTCAGGTGCTGCAATTCCACGTACACCAATTGCAATTCATTCGGCTGATGTACAACCTCAATTGCGTAGCATTGGTGACCACTTTTCACCGATTCGCGTTTCGCATCGCTAGCAACTTGACCATATCCTTTACACAGTTCAGACACTTTCTTATCTGCAACGGTGCTTTCGCGTCCACGGAGGTATTCGTAATGAAATATAGTCAACAAAGCACAAGTGACGAAAGCTAACGCGACGGGGTTTCTGACCGCTGGCATCTGGGCGACCTCCTTAACAGATGCATGTCGCAACCATACAATAAGCATACAGATAATACCCATCGACTCCGAGGAGTCACTAACCATGCTGCTCAGGTCAATGGACAAATATTGGCTAAAAAATCGATCGAAAGACTCTAAGGCCAACTGACAACGGGGCACAGTCGCAACAGGTAACTTCACGGAGAACGTTGACATTCGCCTGCCTTCACGGTAGCTTTCTACCGGTTGGCCGTCCGTCAACCACCGGAGTTTGTGGGAACAACCGATGCGATACTCAAGATCAACCTATAAGCGATAGTTTAAGAAACGGATTTGCTCACTCACGGTGTAGATGGAGTTTGCATATTTAAGATCCTCGTACAGAATCCGTAGCACACTTCCACCACGCACGTATAGCGCATCAATCAATAAAGCGGATATGCGACCACTACGGAAGCGATGGCTTAGCTGCCGCGGCCATCGGAAGCAGAAATCCGTACTCGTTCCAACGTCGCCAGCTTACCAGTGAGACAAGGTCCGACACAGCAAAGAAACCGCCTCATCCACCGTGTTCACTGAGAAGGAATCAAAGTTAACAGGTTGGTTCCCACGCGGTGAGCGGAGGGTAAATGCAGTGTCACTCGGGAGATTTATTTCATTGGCCAGTTCAGAACCACCGGTGACCGGGTCGAGAAAGTATCCACGGATGCATTGCGCAATTTGCTTCGTAATGTCGTTTAGTTGGAGGCTAGAATATCCGGAGAGAATTTCATGTAATGCACCTGAGGAGTTATTCGTGAATTGGGACAACCACCTTAGCACAGCATGCACCCGCTTCGCGCCGTATGGCATTTTAGGGGTCTTCTTAATTAAGAGTTGCACACTATCAGGAGTGTGAACGTTTGAAGTGGCATTGTTGTCCAACAGCACGCCCAACAGTGGAAGCAAAGTCGGTGTCACTTTGTTCAAACTAGACTTAGGTTGGCAGAAGACAGAACATGACACTCCGTAGCACGTTGTAGACTGCGAGTCACAATCGGCGCACTTTGTTGGCAATTGGTCACATGCAGAATTAAATAAAGACAACGGAATCACTCGGTAACGTGATGGCACAGGCGACTGAAATATGTAGAAGTCGGAGTTGTCACTCACGATCGGACAATCGAGCAGCACCGCGAGTTCAGCCGTTTGCAATTTAGCATTCCGGGTGCCGCAAACATGTGGAACGTCACATTCATCGAGCAACTCCATCACAACATGATAGGCCAATTTCGGCAGCAGATTCGCTGAATCTATACAGTCTGGATCCGGAATTACTCGGACATGCTGGATGAACATTGACAGAGCCTTGATCCGATCCAAGTTGCGCTTCAGTAATGTCGAGCGTTTGCTGCCCTCTAATGGAACAATAAACATAGAGAAAAATGACAGACCACGTCAACAACTCCTAAGTAAGTAATAAACCATACATTCTCTGGTGCTGTTATGTCACATCGCGGCTACTTTTAAAGAATAATCGCCCGTATCCTGCGGGCCATGAGAGACGGTTGCGAGCCATGACATTCGATCAATACTATTAACAGTTAAATTTTGATGTTTAGAACCGTAAACTTATCTAATATGCAACAAACGAGATCATCTATATTCGACATTTCATCGCATAGCCCGTTGCATGATTGAGTTAGCTAACCGGTCAGTCACTAGGTGGTTGGAAGGTTCCCAGGATTATTTTGACTTGCATCGTTTCTTTAACTAACAGTCGACGCCACGCTACATTATATGCACACCAAGGGTCTGTCCGTCTTATCAAAAGCCTGCGGAATGAAACCGGACAAACTCGAAACGGCTAGTACATACTTGATCTTATAATCAATTAACTCTCTAATAACCTCCAGTCTTCGCCCATTCACATATTGCCAAACATGTCAGAAGACTGGTGACAATGCGTGGAATATCGCGCATTAATAAAGTGATGATTTACGGCCAACATACCATCCCTTCCATCCCCGATGTCACTGCAGGTCTCTTTGGTGCCCGCGTCTTTTTTAGGGTTGCTCCGTGAAGCCCCAGTCGACTTTGAACGATCTTGAACGAAAAAGCGATCCCATCGCTCATCTGTGAACAAGTTGCCTTGCCGCCATTCTCAGTTGCAATCTGTCACACAGACGTGCGTTCACACCCATTCCACCCAGATCCATCTCCGCTATCTAGTGCAATCCATCTTAGGGATCTAAACCATTTCCAGGCCATGTTGTCCGCTTGGGCAACAGAAATAGTCTGAGAGGGCATTCAACATGGGTCTACTCAATGGTAGTGAAATCTATTTCCTTGGTAGTGAAATTTCGTCCCTGATAGATTGCTCAAGGATACAGGCATAATCGCTTACATCCGCTTCCACCGTGTTCGAGATTTGGTACTTAGTGATCCTGCTAAAACGTGGCAAAGGAGTTTTGTGTCCTGTCGCGTTTGTTGGTACTTATTTGCTGAATGTCATATTTACTCCGCCAGCTTACACGCCTTCCATGTCCTCACCGGATTGTAAACGCCGGTGCACTACCCGAAGCACTGTAACCCGGCGTCTTTGCAGACAATCCACTTGGACGTCATTCCGTCAGTTTCTTGGCCAATACTGAGTGGATATACATTCACCAATCCTCTGCTTTGTATCGTGGTTCCTACTGTAAGTTGCCATGTACTGAGTAAGCAACTATTTGTTGATCCTTTATTTTACTTTCTCGACTTGCGGATCCAATTTTATCGTTAGACGACCACATGCACGGGTGCTTTTCGCAGACACAAGCTGTTTTACATCGGCATACGCTTCGACTATCTGAAAGTTTTTCATTATTAGGTCATAGCAGACTGCTTAAGCACGCCGTCCTTATACACTGTGGCTTTTGCTTTTACCTATCACATTAGTAGTAACTGCGCCCTTCGGTTAACTCCTTGAAACTCGTTGCATGCTTTTCGATAATATCGCCGCGGTGTTACTCGATCCAGCACTTATTTCGGTGAAGAAAGCTAATAATCACCTCTTTGGCGCTCAGATTATTTTGTCGTGATTTTTCGAGCATTTGTTCTCAAAGTTGACATCCCTCATAATGAACACTTGGCTGTTAATCCATGCCCCAACTACTTGCGTTGGTTTATGCATTGCTGCGACTCACAATACAACGATATTTTATCCTGTGACTCAAGTATCGGCCACTGCTTGAACTTTGTAACCACTTAACCGTGGCAAATGGCAAAGTCCGAGTTTTGTATTTTGTGCAGAACAGATTCTCTCGAGTTACCTATGTATTTGTGTTTCTTGATCTGTTATTTTACCATCCTTTTGACATTGGAGGCTAGTCTAGTTGTTCTTCTAAGACTCAGTTTTAACTCCTCAAAGAAGAGTAATGAACATTATTTGAATTCCCTTAGTTTCACGTTATTTCGCTGTAAACATATTTCCGATTACGTGCAGTTTGCACATACATTTGATACGGCCTGCTACTGAATCATGGGAATACTTTTTCTCTTTTGCAGCCCTAGTTAATTTGGGCGAAAGATGTGCAAGAACTTTTTAATGGAGGCCTTTCATATCTTCATTTTCTCATTACACACGAACTACTCCAGATAACTCACTCAGCCCTTGTAGCATGCAATTGAACACGCCTACGCTTACACATCTTTACGGTTATTAACGTGTGTTGCCACTTTAAGACTGGACCTTAACGTGGTGCGACGGTTTGCGTACCTCATTGACCCATTGAGCTATACTGGGTGGTGCCTCCGGGCACCCTGAGAGCTACTCCTACCAGGTTGGTCAGTGGTGAGAGGTCAGACAAACTCAGTCTCCTTGTCCTCCAGGTTGGGGGTTTGAAATGGAATGGCGTCCATTTCTGTAAAACTAAATCATTGCCACCTCCCCGCTGCCTAGCAAACAGGCTTTTGAGCCAAAGGCTTTGCTTGAGGATCCTAATCGTCCTCCTGTCTAGGTCTGGGCGCCCTGGCCGCATCTCAGCCCACATACAACCATGATATTTTCTTCAAACATGAACTTCATCCTGCATCGGCCGTCGCGCAGATTATCAAGGGTCGCCTTATCTGCTGCATACAGCAGGGCGGATAAGCGAAAACATGCTACTGCTGGCGCCTCCCTTCTTCCTTTTCCACCTTTTCTCTTACTCCCATCCCGATCCCCATTACTAACCTTCCTTCTATAATTCCCAACTTAATTGACAGCAAGCGAAATGCCACTGGAGTAGAACCATCTGCAGCCACCATCCCACAGCACCTATCGGACGCCTATCGGCAAAAGTCCCTAATAAAGCCACGCTATCCCGTTTCCATGGCGACATTCAACGTTCGCACTCTAAGACAAACAGGTCAACAGGCTGCACTCGCACGCACCTTAGACACACTGGGTATTGATGTGTGTTGCGTGTCCGAAACTAGGATCAATGAACCTAATGGAGTTGTTGAATTAACTACACCCGGCTTATCCTCTCGTTATTGGTTGCACGCATCCGGAGACGCCGATGCAACACTCACGGGTCAAGCTGGTGTAGGTATCATTCTAAGCTCCAAGGCTGAACCATCGTTGGTTGATTGGATTCCGGTGAACAGCCGTTTATGTGCAGCCCGTTTGAAGACATCAGCTAAGGTTGATTCACGAAGTAGTACAAAACGCTGTTTGTTCGTGATTTCCGCTTATGCTCCCACCGACTGCAGTTCAGATGTTCTCAAGGACACATTCTATCAAGAACTGAATGCGCTATTACGCAGTGCTACTAGTTCAGATATTATAGTAATTGCAGGGGATATGAACGAACAAGTAGGGCGTCTGAGCTCTTCAGAAGCTCAGCTGGGTGGTAATTATGGGCCTAACTTCGAACAGACTGACAACGGTGAGCGTCTGCCGCAACTGTGTGCGGAGCACCAGCTGTTTCTTAGTAGCACTGCTTTTATACACAGTGAGCGCCGAAGTGCCACTTGGCGTCCTCCTGTAGCTGGCCAGCGATGGACCCAAATTGACCACATAGCCATAAGTTACAGATGGCGTGGTTCCATCCTGGATTGCCGTTCGTACTGAAGTACCTGTGTCGACTCTGATCATGCCTTCGTACGCTGTCGTTCCTCCATGAACTTTACCAGGGAGGCGCACCAAGCGTCCCCTACGATTGGCAACGGAGAAATTGTCTCAGTCCTCGGTCAGACAAGCCTATCAAGAGGCGCTGCGTATCGAACTTCCGCTGTCTTGTCCTAATGACACTGAGCTTCAGTGGAATAGGATCTCGGCCGCCATGCACGACGCAGGAGCATCTGCTTGTGGCATTATCAATCGTCACCGCACCAGTCACTGGATATCCGACAGGTCGGTGAACCTGTTGGAATCTAGAAGACACCTCCCGGCTGGCTCTGAACACAATGTGACCAGACGGGCTATTAGGCGTGAACTAAAGCGGAGCCTACGTGCTGACAAGGAAGCCTGGTGGACCAGTAGGGCTCAAGAAATGGAGGAGGCAGGAGCAGTAGGCAATTACCGCAAGCTCTTCCAGCTAATCCGCACCACTGGTCCCAGGAAAGCAGGCGTCAGTGAGACAATCAGAGACAGCGCGGGTGCGCTGATACACAATAAGGAGCGCCGTATGGCTCGTTGGAAGGAACATTTTCAAGATCAGTTCAGCTGGCCCCCTGCTCCCGGACCTCTTCCAACTCAAGTGATGCAGGACGAGCCATGGACGGTTAGTTTAGAGCCTCCGTCGGAGGCCGAGGTCCGAAACGCGATCACAGCCCTTAATCGTTTTCGTGCCGCTGGCCCGGATTCCCTCCCACCTGCACTATTTAAGGATGGAGGTGAGGTCCTCTGCAAAGCACTGACCTCCTTATTCGAATGTATCTGGAAGAAAGGGAGTGTCCCGGCTAATTGGAGCGAATCGATTATAGTGGCAATATACAAGAAGGGCAGTCGCGCAGACTGTTCTAACCACAGGGGTATTAGCCTAACGCCAGTTGTGACAAAATTACTGGCCTCGATTCTCGTTCGTCGCCTCACTGCGGAACGGGAATCTCGGATTAGGGAAGAGCAGGCCGGTTTCCGCCCAGGACGTGGCTGTATAGACCATATATGCACTTTGCGGCAGGTGCTAGAGCAGCGCCACGCATACCGCAGACCGACAATAGCTGTGTTCCTCGATTTCAAGAGTGCGTTCGATTCAGTCGATCGATCGATTCTGTTCGAAATACTTGCGCGGAAAGGTGTTCCCACGAAATATGTGAACATCCTTCGTGCTCTATACTCGAACACTACAGGCCGCGTCAGGGTCTACGGTGTCCTGTCGGATAGCTTTCCGACCACAAGTGGCGTTCGTCAGGGTTGTCCGATTTCCCCATTTTGTTCAATTTCGTTGTGGATTCTATCATGGAGTGTT